AAAAAAAAAAAAAAAACCAACAATTCCAGGAAAACTATGTTATGCAGAAAAATAAACTGAACAAACTTTTGCCTCAGGGTCACATCAAGAGTTTTTACCAAATTGAAAATAAAAAATAAAATTCAAAAATATATATATGTTATGATCCTGGCCAATTTCGAAGTACACATTCATCAGAAAGTACAGTGCCGTCCAATTGCGAAAAGAAATGAATGAACTTGAGAGGAGAGAGAGGGAAAGACGAAAAAGAAGATGAAAGAAAGAAGAAGATGAAAGAAAGAAGAAGATGAGAGAAAGAAGAAGACGAAGATGTACACCAGCAAAGACCAATGAGAATTCCCTCCTTCGCCAACCACTCTCCTCCTCCTTATCTCCTCCACTCTGATTCAAACAAGAAATAATAATAATAATAACAAGGTTACCTGTTGCGGCTTCGCTCGCAAAAAAATGAAGGGAAAAGGGTGCAAATGAGGGTGGGTAGGGGTTTGTTGGTCGGGTGTGGGTTTAGGTGGGGTCGGGGTGGTTTTTAGGCTCACCTCCGCATTGTTGTTGACACTGCCGATGGAATGCTGCTGCTGCTTTGTAAGCCTTGGATAGATATTTTTCTTTCTTTTTTTTTGCTTTTTTGTCCTGTAAAACATCTCATCACAGTTTGCAATCCTTTCAGTTGTGGCTTGCTGGGTTGGTGGTTGTCCGGATTTGAACTCACCTGTGTGTGTGTGTCACACTTCGCATACCTGTCTCCCACTAACCAAAAATATTCTTTCTCAGATGTTGGGAGATACGCAATTCTGCGATCGTGTGGGGGGGAGGGGGCGGTGCGCGCAGTTAGTTAGATTGGGGTCTCTCTCTCTCTCTCTCTCTCTCTCTCTCTCTCTCTCTCTCTCTCTCTCTCTCTCTCTCTCTCTCCCTTTCTCTCTCCCTTTCTCCCTGCCTCCCTCCCTCCCACATCTTGCGTGCGCCCGTTTAGACCATCTCGACGGACGTCTCTCTCTCTCTCTCTCGCTCGCGCGCACGCATGCTTTTTTTTTTTCTTTCTT